TCGAGGCCGAACAGATCGAGTAGCTCCCCGATGACATGGAGTTGGACCGAGGTGGGGCACACATGATCATGCCCCCACCGCTCGCCGCACTTGAAACAAAGGTCGCGGGCGCGGCGATACTCCCTGAGCGTCTTTAGTTTTGCCGAGTCCGCCCGCGTGGCGTCCGTGCCGCGACGATCAGTGGCGCCCGCAGGAATGGCTGGTCGGGGCGAAGGTGGTGGAAGTAGCAGAGGCGCGGCCGATCGCTGGCTCGGCTCCGGCGGTCGGGGAAGAGACCCAAACGAGCCCCCTGCTACTTCTTCTTGAAGCAATGCAAGGGAGCACGTTGTATCCAAGTCAGGTGGCCGCTGCACGAGCACCACCGCGCGGATATCCGTCCTCAATCCCTCCACAAATCGAGTAAGAAAGTAGTAAGGATGTATCGAATCAGAGTATGAGCTCAAATGGTTAATGATTAATTCAAATTTTTCAATGTAATCTGCCACAGGTGATGTTTGCCTGACAGTATAAAATTGGCGGATCAGCATCTGGTGCCGATCGCGGCCGAAACGCGTGCAAAGCAGAGAAGTAAATGACTCCCAATCGAAGTCAGCCAACCGCTTCTGTATCGTTTGCAACCAAACGGAAGTGGTGCCCGTGAAATTAAGGGCGGCCATGGGTACCCAGAATGCAGCATGAATGCCAAACATGGAGAAGTACTGCTCGCACAATGTTTTCCACAAATTGGGGTTCTCCCCTATGAATTGTTGGAACGCAATAGAAGGGTGTGCCTGACCCAGCCCAGCCAACATCTGACTTGCGTGAGCGAAAGGGGAGAGGGCTAAAGGTGACAGAGGGGAATCGGACTGACCGCTGGCCGGGAGCGGCGGCGGTGTCTGGAACGACACCGCCGGCTGCCCCCGTGGTAGATTGAAGACGCCGTGGCCATTGGGCCCTGGTTGAGGAGTCGCCGCTCCATTCACCGGTCCGATGGGGACGCCGTGCGTCGCAGGCGGAGGCTGCGGCGGCCCGTGGGCGGTCAGATCGGCGCTGCCCTCCTTGGACGACGGCCTCTGCGCCAGCTGCAGCGCGGTGACCGCTTCGCCGAGATCTGCCACACGATGCTCCAGATCGGGATGCCACAGGAGGAGTTCGTCGATCTTGGTCAAGGTAGCCTGCTGGGCCTTGGTCTGGGCGTCGATCTTAGCCTCCAGGTTGGCCTCCAGCTTGGTGAGGAACGCGGAGACGCCGGGATCCATCGCTTCCAACTGCGCTCGGGCTTGGCGCAGGCTTCTGGTTTCGACGAGCTTCGCCAGAGCAAGCGGAGAGGGAGGTGGGTGGTCTATGATACCAAATGATAGGTACTGCTTGCGGATATATTAAGTTGTGGCAATTATCTGGGATACAAGCTTGATTCGATACAGGAATGGCGAAGGGGAAACTAGGGTTCGGAGGTAAGGAAAGTAGGTAGCCGCCGGGTTCGTCTTGATCCTCTGGATGCCTTCTCCTTCCAGCGAGGCCGTCTTAAGTAGTGGGTGGCAGTAGCTGGGCCGCCGAGACCCAGTCCGGCCCGCTGACTCGTGGGTTGGCCCGGCGTGATCGCCTGGCCCGTGCGTTGCTGGACTCCTGGGCTCTGGTCGGTGGTCCCGCGCTGTCAGGGGCGCTGACACGCTCCCTCTGGATTTTGTTTTTTTTCGCACAAGTTTTCAGCTTTTTAAACGGGTTTTTTGGGTTTTTTTGACGTTTTGGTTTTCCACCGGTCTTCCCTAGTTTTTCGATAAAAAAATTTATTTTGCGCAAAAAAACGCGTTTTATTTTTGCAACAGTCATGGTTTTGCTTTCGCGAGAGGCACAATTTTGCTTTTGCGAGAGTCACAGCCGTGCGTCTCGGAAACGGAAAAAAATGTATTTCCTATTTTTTTCCTTTCACGAGAGTCACGGTTTTGCTTCTGTGAGAGGCACGGTTGTGCTTTCGCGAGAGTCACGGTCGTGCCTCTCAGGAACAAAAAAAACGGGTTTTTTTCGCGAGAGTCACGGTTTTGCTTCCGCGAGAGGCATGGTTGTGCTTTCGCGAGAGTCACGACCGTGCCTCCTCGGAAACGGAAAGAAAAACACGTTTTCTGTTTTTTTTCTTTCGCGAGAGTCACGGTTTTGCTTCCGGGAGAGGCACGGTTGTGCTTTCGCGAGAGTCACGGCCGTGCCTCCTCGGAAATGGAAAAAAAGCACTTTCCCTTCTTTTTCGTTTCGCGAGAGTCACGGTTTTGCTTCCGCGAGAGGCACGGTTGTGATTTCGTCAGATGCACGGGCGTGCCTCTTTCGGAAAGGGAAAAAACTCGTGTTCCCGGTTCAGTTTTTTCGTCCGGATTTTTTCGTGATTTTTTTGTCAAAACCTATCAACATGGGATCTAGTTTTGAAGATCTCGACGCGAGGAATCCAATGGCGAAAGCGGTTTGAGATTTGGACGCACGATTTAAGAGATAAAACGTTTTGAATAAACGGATCTACGAAAAAAGGAAAAACTCCCAGGTTGCAACAAGTGGCGCACATGCAGCGCCACTTGTCGCAACCTGGGGAAGTTGGAGTGATCGCCGCAAAGAGTACTCCTTAACTACTGATTTCGGCTTAGTCTCCCGTCCGGCTGTTTCTCAACAACAACAACAACAACAACAACAACAACAAAAATCTCCCGTCCGGCTGCACAAACATTTTGAATCATTTTCTCAAAAAAAAAATTGCTTTGAATCAAGGCAAATCGTGACGGTTTTGAATCAGTTCAAATCATTCATGAGAAACAAGAGTCAAATGTTGAAGCACACAACCTGGCGAGAGCTTCTGCTACTTTAGGTTTTGGGAGTCAATGGACCAGACCTTATTGTAATTTCTTCTAAATAAAGTGCTTCAACCCCTCAAAAAAAAAATCTAGGATGCACGATATTTTCTATCATTTTCTTTTCATGCGGGGGGGTCTCCTTGTAATGTGCGGGCAACTATCCTTGCCTAGTTTTTTTTCTTAGGAAAAACTTTCGATCTATTCATCAACTATCATGAGAGTACATAGCCTTATACAATGCTAAGTGCTTAGTGAAATAAACCAGTTTTTCTTTAAGTATATGTACTTATTTGTAGAGGGTTTACGTTTAATTAGGCATCTCTACTCCTATAGAGATAAGCACCGGTGTTTAAGCAAAACTTGGTTCGTTGTACTAAGCATTCCATAAGTACTTTGCATTGTACAGGCCTTAATTGTTCTCACGTCTCAAAAAAATAATAATATCCTTGACGTGCTTTTTTGTCAACAAAATATGTGTACAATTCTTTGATTATATGAGACAAAAATAGGAAATGATCAAAAAGAATTGTACACATATTTTAATGAAAATATGGGGCGCAAAAAATTAGAAAGTTTTCTAAGATGTTGACGTTTCCTTAACTATCCGTAATATTTGCTCTGAATATAATCATCCGGGGAGCCTTTTCGCCCTTGGTGATTTTTTATATTTAAAAGTAGGACGATTCTACATAGAAAGAATAGAATGATAATGATGTGGAAAAGAAGAGATGAATTGTGCACATTGGCATTGTACACCAGTTTGTAGAAGGAAAAGAAGAGGGTAACCCATGGAGAAGTTGATGGTGATCTTGATCTTGGAGACCCAAGTACCCGCATGAAGTTCTCCCTCGCCTTGATGTTTTTCTTTGTGGATGCCTCGTAGATAAGGGGTGTGATCTCCTTGGGCTTCCGATTGTGGACCCAAGGCGCATCCCAAAAGGAGGTTTTGGCGCCATTTCCCATCATGATTGTGGTGAGGGAGTAAATGAAATCGAGGCCGGCCTCGTCACATGGGTTGCCCAAGCCAACCCACAACTTTGAGGGCTCTTTTCATTCATACCAAGGTCATCTCAATCTTAGAGCTCTAGCGAATTTTATGGTGTTGAGAATCCCTAGACCCCCATGCTCAAAGGGTCGACAAACCATGTCCCAATTCACCTTGCCCTGACTGTCTTGTCGAAAACGGACCAAAGGAAAGCCCGCTCAAGTTTGTTAGTGTTGTGGAGGGAGCTTGCAGAGACGATTTATGGAGTTTGACTTGATCGACGATAAGTCTGATGCAAGGGTACAAGTTGGGTGTTATTCTATGTGGTTGTTAGGTTGTGTGGAGTGAACAAAATGCTAGAAGACACGGTGAAAGAAGCAGATCAGTGCAAAAGTCTGTTAAATGGGCAGTTGATATTGCAACCCTGGGGAGTGAAAAGAAAGCAAAAATGCCAAAAAAAACAACACAAAGATGGCAGCCACCTGACCAGAATGTGCTCAAACTAAATGTTGACGCACAATGTTTCAAAGCAGACAAGACATCGCGGAACGGGACTGGCAGTTCGCAACCATGCCCGAGTGCTAGTGAGAGCACATGCGAGATGGCATGAGTTCATAGCGAACGCATGTAAAATGAAAGCTTATGCAACTGAATGCTCCCCCCGGCTGGCGGTTGACCAAGGATTTTTATTTTTATTTTTTGGACAAGTGGTGGCGCCAGAAAGCTTCATACAAAATAATGCAGCGTAGAGTGATCTTGTTGGTCTTGAACGCTGGGATGAGACAAGGACATGGTCATTAGACATGCATTCAGCGTAGCAACAAATCAAGCCTCGTGATGTTTTATGCTCAATTATGTTAACATTAAGCACAACCAGTAAAAATGCTGTTACTCTAGAACAAAGACGATTACATGTTAAAGAAAAATATATTCATGAGCCTTCATGTACACGCTCATATCGAGGTGCGAAGGATTCGTACGAAGAACACGACATCTCAGGGGAAAACTGAACGGACACATTTCCTCCATTCAAACTCAAGAGTTCAGACGGCGAATGCTCCATGCGTAGAGGAGGAAGCAGGCAAGATCTTCTACTCTTAGTCCACCTGCTGCTGTTTTTCCAGTGCTAACACATCTGCTCTGCTCGATCGGCAACCAATTTACCAAAAACGAATAGTACTGCGTACAATATATGTTCAGCGCGTTCAGAGGAAGCCGTCCCTGCGGTCCTGCTCCTCGGCGTCCTTGTTCGCCGTCTGCACGGCCTTGTACCACAGATACCCCTGGAATCCAAACGAGAATGAACTCGTTCAACAACTGCGATACAAATTTAATCTAGCATAGATCCGGCGTGGCAGAGTACGTACGGAGGTCGGGATGCCGGTGACGGCGAAGAAGCCCAGGATGGGCGCGTAGAGGGGGCTGTCGGTGCCCACCACGCCGAACACCGCTCGCCCGTTCGTGTACTCGAATATCGACCCGATCTGCAGATGCGACGATCAGCGGAGCGGAGCGGAGAAGAAGAAGAAGGGGGATAAAGAAGGGTTCGAGAACGTACGGCGGCGATGGCCGTCACTGCGGACGCGAGCAGGTACGCGTAGAACGGGACCTGGACGGCGTCGCCTTCCTGCCCCGAGGCCCCGCCTTCGTCGCGCGCCCACGGAGGAGGCTCGTCGGAGCCCGGCCGGGCCCAGGAGGGGACCTTCTCGTCCGCCTTCTTCCCCGACGACTTGGCGGCCGCGACCACCAGCCTTCGGCGCGACGACGACGGCCGCGCGCACGGCGCGGCGGCGGCTTGCGAGGCGAGGCGAGATTCGGGCGTCCGGCTCGGGCCGACGCAGCGCGAGCCGCAGAGGGAAATGGCTGCCGCGGCCATGGATGCGAGCGCGAGGTCTTGCGGTGGGAGAGCTTGGAGCGCGGTGTGTGTGGAGTCGACCGGGGGAGTGTGGATAGGACGTGCGCGGCGCACGGTGAACGGTTCCCGGTTTCTCCTCCAGTGGTCACGTGCTGTGGGCTGAGCTTTAGCGGCCCACGTGTGAGGGACGCGTTAAGCTTTTATTGAGCTGGGCTCAAATACTCCCCTCATCATCGTCAAAAAATAACTGGGCTCAAATACCGAATTCAGCAACGCTCCGTCAGGGAAAGTGTGATACCATTCCTTACATGATATTATAAATAATAACCTGCAAAATTTAGTTTTAAACATATCAAAAAAATCTGAAAAATATCATGGATGTCCACAACAAATATGTCGACAACCCCTAAAAAATTAAGATCGAAATTCAAAATACCCAAAGGGAAACAAAAAAAAAGGCAAATTTGATCTGAATTTTTTAGGGGTTGTCGACATATGTGTTGCGAACATGCACGATTCTTTTCAGAATTTTTTAATATGTTTAAATTTGAATTTTGCAAGTTAGTATCATGGTATCATGTAAGGAATGGTATCATACTTCCCCGCTCCGTCATTGTCCAAAAAAAAGCAACATTCCATCACTTGTCTCAACAAAAAAAAATGCTCCATATTGTCTAAAAAACCCGCTCCATCATTGTTTAAAAAACGCTCTGTCATGTTTCAAGCTTCCTCATGGACTTTGTCAAATTGAATTTTATCCTCCGGAGTTTTGGTGGGAGGATAGAGAAGGGAAAGGGGTTGGGTCTCATGAAATGATATGTGGAAACCAAGATTTATTACTTCAATAAAAAAAGGAAACCAAGATTTATGGGGGCTAGGTTTCGAGACTTTCAACCTTGCCCCCCTAGCCAGTCAGAAGTGCCGGATCTTGCATGATCCAGGAAGCCCTAGTGCTCAAATAATCATGTCAAAATACTATCCAGATAGAGATTTTTTGATGTGTCACTTGGCTCTCATCCACCACAGGTTTGCAGAGCTGTCATCGAGGAACGAGACACTTTGAAGTCAGGGCTTGTGAAAAGAATAGGAACTAACGAGCTCACTACTGCTTGTAACAAGAATTGGATTCCCTAGTGCTCAAATACTCATGTCAAAATACTATCCAGATAGAGATTTTTTTTTTGATGTGTCACTTGGCTCTCATCCACCACAGGTTTGCAGAGCTGTCATCGAGGAACAAGACACTTTGAAGTTAGGGCTTGTGAAAAGAATAGGAACTGACGAGCTCACTACTGCTTGTAACAAGAATTGGATTCCAATGGAAGGTTCAATGTGTCCTATCGCATGTATGAACCTGATCTGCCAACATTGTTGAGTGGATTTGTCGAAGCATCGTTAGCAACGTCAAACGAACAAAAGCTGCGTGATCTCTTCCTGTTAATGGACGTTGAGGAAATTGAAAAGACTCTGCCAAGTACACGCCAACTAGATGGCTTCTGGGCTTAGCAACCAAAGGCCATCGGATATTCATAGTGAGATCATCACATCATCTTCTATTAAGTACAAAGAGCAAGAGGGAAGACTAGTTGGGAGGGAGACCTATGAATTCTGACGATTGGCGGTGGGGAAAACACGTCTATTGCACTATGGTAGGTGCAAGTCCAAGCAAAAGGTTATGTTGTTCTATGGAGGTTGGCCAAGCTATTCCTTCCTTTCGTGGATCTATAAAACACATAATATTGCATCGTTGAACATGTGTTCGATCTGCGGCGATGAAGAATTGAAGATACATAACACCACTCGTTGTTAGAGTGCACCATTGCCAGGTGTGTATGGGCTCTCCCTAACGAGGAAACGAGGGGTCTGTTGGATTTGCAAAGGGAGCGATGCGCTAGAAGTTGGTTGTTTAACTTGATCGAAAACCTTCACCCTATACATGCCGCAAGAATATCCGTGATGACGTGGGCAGTTGGGTGCTAGGAGGAAGGCCATGCATGAAAATATATTTAAGTCCCCTTTTGTCGCACACAATTTCCTCGACTAGTTATTCTCATATCCATCGATGACTAAACCCGAGATGGAAGTGGCTACTCCTCGTGTACCAGTGGCGGCTGAATGGAATCCGCCTCCCACTGACTTCGTCAAGATAAATGTGGACACTGGACTGAGCAAGAACATAGATTGAGAATCTGTCACTATCATGGCTCACAATGCAGCTGGACATTATCCGAGGGGCTCAACCATCTCTTTCGCCGAGCAGTTTGAAGCTGAGACAATGGAAGCATCTTTGCCTCAGATCTGAGACGGAGGAAATCAAGACTTGGTCCAAGAAACTTAGTGACTAAAGGTTTTCCCATGAACCAAGAAGTTTGAATAAATATTTTTTTTAGACAAAGTTCGAATAAATAGGTGCACTTTATCTAGAAGCCCGCTACCCCTACAATTGGCGCACCATTTGTGTGGTTTGGAAATCTGCCTATGGGTGTGGGCTTTCTTGCCTTTATTTCTGATAATTAATAAATGGGCAGACGATTACTAAAAGAATTTACATTGACGATCAACGAGGGAGTGCAATCAAAGTGACGCGGATGGCTTGAGAGCATAATAGGTATAAACAATATCATAAAAAAATCAATTTCGGTAAAAAAAATTAGAAAAAATTATACTGGAAAGATGAAATATTGTTTACTTATGTACGTACAAATGTTCGTGCATATGAATAAAATGTTCATTGTCTATCTGTTTTTTTTCTTGTATGATTAATTATATATGTATATTTTTTTTACATTTTTTGATAAAAACATCTTTTAAAAAAGTTCTGATATAAGAAAATGTTTTGTTATAAAAAGCTATATATGTAAGAAAATGTTCTTACATCTCCCTCCGTCCCGAATTAGTTGTCTTAGATTTGTTTAGATACGAATGTATCTAGAGTACATTCATATCTAAACAAACTAAGACACCTAATTTGTGACGGAGGTAATATGAAATGAAGTCTTTGAGAAAAGATCTAGTATAGAAAGCTATATTTTGTATTACAAAATCAAGTATTAATAAAAACATAGACTATTAAGAAGTTCTTACACATGTGAATATGTTCATGTAATGTGGAAAAAATTTCAAGTCCAAAAGACCTTGTTGAAGGTGTGTTCCACTCTGTGCTAGAGTAGATGGTATGTGTGAGAAATCCTGTCTTTCAGCCTTATTTCGTGGCGTTTTGGGCTGTTGGTGGCTACATTTTTACGCAGAGAATGTTATGTGCGCTCTCTGCTTCGCCGTGTACTTACATTAAGGTTAGTTTAGTTGTCTGTTTTGTTAATAGGAATCGCAGCAATGCATCTCCCAGCTTTGCAATGCGAAAGTTGCGATTGATTGGTAGGTTGATCACGGGACCTGGAGTTGGATGTTTGCGACTAAAATTGGCATTACCATCATTTTGGTCATGATTTTGGACGGTCAGCAAGGAGTTGGTTTGCTCATGCCCGTTCCCCCAGTGGTTTACTGTTCCTGCAAAAAACAAAACACGGAATAATTAACGTCAGCTTATCAAGGTGTGTTTTTACAGTTCAGAAGAAGAAAATAAATACTCCCTCCGTAAACTAATATAAGAGTTTTTAGATCACTAGTTTAGTTATCTAAACGCTTTTATATTAGTTTACAGAGGGAGTACATTATATTACATGCACATCACTATGTGAAGAGACATATATTCATTCAATTTGGCTGGCCAAAACCTCAAAATGAAATGGAAACATAACAAAAACGTAAATTGCATAAAAAGGCGTGGGGCATGGGCAAGACTTGACCTGGCGTGCTGCTGCTGGAGTGGGAATCTGATACTGTACTGTACTGCACACACGCACGCACGCACGCAGCGCCAAAGGAATCCAAAGGGGTTCAGAGTCATGTCCATGATATCCTGGTGAGAAGAGACTGAAGCAGATTCTGCAGTTTTAGGTGTCTTTTTCTTCAGCACATGGTCACGGGATCAGACTGTAGAAGAGTACATCAGTTACAGGGGGCAGCTGCCGCTCCACTAGACACAGACCTCTCTCCGGCCTCCGCCGCTCTGCTAGATCGCCACCTACCAGTACGCACCTGGGGTCACTGCCTTGAGTGGGCTCTGGGAAGGATGGATGCATCAACAGCAGCGAGAAATCAGTTCAGAGTTTAACTGATGGTCAGGAAACTTGTGTTCAAGGAGCGATTCAACGGCCGGCTGCGCTGCAGAGAAGAAGGCCAGGTAGGTAGGGCAGGTGCAGATGATCTTGTGCTTCATTTCGTATCCTTCTTTTACAATCCACGGCCGTGTTCCTTTCATGGACTCATCTTGCTCTTTGTATTTCAGTCGGACAATCTCTTCTAGCTTTCAGGGCAATGCAGCTTCATGCAGAGGAGAAAACTGGGAACAGTTGAAGCTAGTCAGTTGAAGGTAGTGTCTTACGAGTGCGGCTAATCTGCACCCGGGCTCATCTGCACCCACGCTTAGAAAAAAATTCAAAAAAAATACTAGAAAAATTCAAAAAATTCCAATTTTTTTTGTGGTGGTAGATAATTTGACGCGTGAGGTGCGCCCAAAAATTCAACTCATTTGAGCATCTGAGCAGCTCTCGGCAAAAAAGACAAAATCAGGGTCTGTAAAAATGTATACTGTTCACGCACTGTTTTGACCCGATTTGTCTTTTTTGCCGAGAGCTGCTCAGATGTCCAAATGAGTTGAATTTTGGGCGCACCTCACGCGTCAAATTATCTACCACCACAAAAAAAATTGGAATTTTTTGAATTTTTCTAGTATTTTTTTTTTGAATTTTTTGCTGAGAGGGAGCAGATGAGCCTGGGCACCGTTTTGAGTTTTCCCTCAACAACACATAACTCAAATTTCCTCTAGATTGTTGATGCAACTGACATATGTATACATTGCTATGCTAGCCAAATATTTCACTTGATCACAGTTTATCTTTGCTCCGGAATCAAGAATCAAGTGGAAAACAGTTGATTTTGAACTTGCAAAAAAAAAAAAA